TGGGATGGGATGGGATGGGATGGGATGGGATGGGATGGATGGGATGGGATGGGATGGGATGGGATGGGATGGGAATGTGGGATGGGATGGGATGGATGGATGGGATGGATGGGATGGGATGGATGGGATAAATATGGGATCGGATGGATGGGATGGGATGGATGGGATGGGATGGGATGGGGTGGGATGGGACGGGTTCCACCACCACGTCCTGGTTGGTCCCACCTTGGTATTCCCGGGTTGGATCCACCTTGGGATTCCCTGGTTGGATCCACCACAAGGAAGGTCCTGGTTGGATCCATCATGGAATTCCTGGTTTGGAATTCCCGGGTTGGAATTCCCTGGATCCACCACAGGGAAGGTCCTGATTGGTTCCTTCATGGAATTCCCTGGTTGGATCCACCTTGGGATTCCTGGGTTGGATCCGTCATGGAATCCTGGTCAATCCCACCCCCTGATCCCGGTCGATCCCACCCTGGAATTCCCTTCTTGCTCCATCCCATCCTCTCCCCCCTCCCCCCCTCCGGCATTCCCGAGCTCCCCCTCCCATCCCACTTCCCTCGGGAAGCTCCAACCCGGAATTCCCAACCCCTCCACCAACCCTTTGCCCCTCCCATCCCCACGGAACCTCCGAATCCCGAGATTTTTCCCAAAAAACCCCCTTTGGGGGACCGAAGAGGGGAAATCCAACCGTATCCCGAGCGGGAACGACGCCCTTTTCCCAGGATTCCGGACCTGTGTCCTGGCCAACCACTGGCTGGACGACGGCGAGGGCCGGATCCGCAGGGCCCGGCTCATGGATCTGCTCCGGAGGCACTTCCACCTGGTGCTGGAATCCTGCCGGATCGGGATGGGGCAGCCGGATCCCGGGATCTACTCCCGCGCCCTGGAAGAGCTGCAGGCGGAGCCGCGGGAGGTGCCGCCGGAATTCCCAAAAAAAACCCCCGAGGGATTATGGGGGTCATTCCGGCCCCGGATTCCCGAGCTGATCCCGGTCGTTCCAGGCCATCCTGCTGGATGAGGTCCCGGAGAACCTGGAGCAGGCGCGGGAGTTGGGAATGGCCACGATCCTGGTCCGGGACACGGACACGGCGCTCACGGAGCTGGAGAAGCTCTCGGGGCTCCAGGTGGGGATTCCCGGGATTCCTCTCATTCCCGGGATTCCTGAGGGAGCTGGAGTGTCCAGGTGGGGATTCCTGGCATTCCTGGGATTCCTGAGGGAGCTGGAGAAGCTCTGGGGGATCCAGGTGGGGATTCCTGGGATTCCTCTCATTCCTGGGATTCCTGAGGGAACTGGAGTGTCCAGGTGGGGATTCCTGGCATTCCCGGGATTCCTGAGG